ATTGGTCTCTACATCTGTTCTCCCATCAGAGTGACCAACAGATTTCTGAAATTTTCCCTCAGCAAGTTCTTGTGTCCATCTTTGCCTCAGTCCCTCATGTGGGAATTCTGCCCCATCCTCCACCTGTCTGCCCCTAGAGGAGGCTTCTGAGGCAGATTTTGCACCTCTATGTCTCCCTGTAGTTATCTCAATTAAATCTGCAAAGAGTGGCTTAAAACGAACCTGTGTAAGAATTTGATTTCTTGAGAGTGTTGTAAATATATACAGAAATTCAGAGTGCCAGGAGCCAGGGCTTTTTTTTGTTTGTTTGTTTAAAAGAAGGGAGGAGAAGAGTTAAACAGTGGTTAAGCTGGTCCAGGTTCCCTGGGCTTTTACTGACTGACCTAGGATACCAGATACAAAGATGGCAATGTTTGGGGGAAAGTGTTCCTGAGTTCCAAATAGCCATTTTACAGGAAATATATGGCACAAACTCAGCATACCATAGCTATTCAGTAAATAGTTGCAGTGCTGTGAGTTGTAAACTGGAGGTGGCCTAAGGCGATAGGAATTTGAATGGGCTTTTTGAACAATAAGATAGTTTTGCCTTGAAAAGCCTTCAACCTGTGGGTCATGACCCCCTTGGGGGTCAAACGACCCTTTCACAGGGGTCACCTAAGACCATCGGAAAACACATATATACTTACATATTGTTTTTGTGATTAATCACTATGCTTTAATTATGTTCAATTTGTAACAATGAAATTGGGGGTCACCACAACATGAGGAACTGTATTAAAGGGTCGTGGCATTAGGAAGGTTGAGAACCACTGCTCTACAGGATTCTTAAATCACCCTGGCTAGGAGAATTTGGAGAATAGACACTGAGGGAGTTGTGGATGAAAGAGGACAAAGAAGAAGGCCATACAGGGAAGTGGATGGGTTACCACATTTTCTACCTCCAAGTGTGGGATTTCCTGCCACCATGTGCCCAGGCTTCCTTTTTAAAATGATCAACAATATACTCAGTTCCCTCCAGAAAACCAAAGGTAACAGAAAACAAATAAAGCAGGATTCAATGAGCTAAACATCAAAAGTTTAGGAAATAATAATCTTTAAACCTATCAAGTTAAAAAATGGATGAAAAAATAAAAGCAAAAAGCTATGGTAATGCTAACATACCTCTAAAAAATAACTCAAACAATAAAATGTTTAATAATTCAGACAATACAGAAATAAATTTCATAAAGTATACTTAGTATGGTGAAATCAACAATATTTCCATATTAGTGAATATGGGAATATTTTAAAAGAAAAAGCATTTGCAATAAATTCCATCTCTGTTAATGGGCATTTTGCCAGAGGACTCTCATCTTATATAATAAAAGCCCAGTGACTGAACGGTGGAACGACCAGAACAACTGATCAACCAGTTGCTATGACGCACAATGACCACCAGGGGGAGACGCTCAATGCAGGAGCTGCCCCCTGGTGGTCAGTGCACTACAACAGTGGGAGCACTGCTCAGCTGACCAGCATGAGCCACTGCTCCCACTGCAAACCTCGGGCTGATGGGCTCAGAACCCGAGCTGCGATCGTTACCTCCTTGCCCCAGGCTCCTCCTCCTCTGGACACCTGCAGTCCGCGCAGCACCGCCCTGGGCTCACAGAGCTGACCCCAGAGGCTGGGAGGCGGATTTGTGGCCAACTCAGGACTGAGGCCTACTCTGCCGCCTCTCAGTGCTATTGTCCCTGGGCCCAGTCCTGACTGGGTCCCCTGGAGAGGCGAGTGCTCCGGCTCCATGGAAGATGCCAGACCAGGGAGCAGCCGCTCAGAGGGCAGGTCTGCCGCTTGGCTGACTGGGATGAGCCGGCGGTGGAGTGGGCTGATCCCCATAGGCCAAACCCCCCACTAGTGCGTGAATCCCGTGCACTGGGCCTCTAGTTGTATATACTGACTTCTAAATGCTTAATTCATCAGAACACATTAAGGGAGCATTATTAGTAAGCCTGCTAGATCATGGAAATTCTCTCCCTATAACTAAATTATCATAAAGCTAATTAAAGTAAGTCTCTGCTGGTATATATCTATGTTCTCATAGACACATCCACATAACCTAGGCAACACCAAATGACTTCCAAGTAAAACAATACATGGATTCTAAATCCACATAGACCAATGCATATTATAATTTCATACTGCGTTTCAAGATAGCAAAAGGATGAGGGTAAGTCTCGCTCAGGCATATTATCTTTCTCTGCAGGCATTATTCCCTGGCTATTCACAGCTGCATTGTTAACGCTCTTTAATTTTAATAGCCTGTTCAATTCTGAATGCTGCTTGCAGAATGTGTGCTCAGTTCCTGCTCTTTTATGTTTGACTTGTCTACACACCTGGTAGAAATTTCTATTTTAATTTGCATTCAGAATCCTTTTTAAAAAACATCATAAATTTGAAAACAACTGCTATCTGAAAACACAGCCAAATAAATCTTCTCCCATTTATAGCATCCAGGAAATCCAAGATTATCAAGTCTGAGTGTGCTTTCCAAGGTTCAGCTTTTGTCAATATATCCTTAGGTTCAAGAAAGGTTTTGTCTTGTATTTTGCATATACAGAAATAAAACCAAGAAAACACAAACATATATTCTATTTTTTCATCTTTAGGTTGCTTATACAATTTAAATTATCTCTATCATCCATCTATCTACCTATCTACCTGTCATCTGGTAGAATCCAATTCCACTAAAGAAGCAAACCTCAGCAGGATAACATCAAATATGGTTTAAATGGTCATTAAAATAAATCTCAAGAGTGAAGATATCTAAGAAGATCCAATTCTTGGAACAATGGAGGGAAAAAAGAATGGTTCTAAGAAGCTAAAACTGAAGTGTCCCTTTCATGGATTGAGTGCAAACTCTGAGAGAAATTGATAAATTTCACTATGGAGTGGTTGCTAGGATACCCTCAAAATCTATCAAGGTAAGCTTTTAATTCGAAAGGGTTCGGCAGGGTTCCCATTATTTCAAAATGATTTTGAAAATCAGAACGGGTGTTCTCTTGGGTTTTATCTAAGTGACAAAACAGGTGAATGAATGACCTGTAAGGGAAAAAAAACATCAAGTTTTTAAAAAATAATTATACTCTCTTATATGACTTATTTTAAAAGTAAGCTTGTCAAAGTTCAGAATCTGAAAAGAAGAAATAAAACTCAAAGGCAAATGGACAATTCAAAATTCCTTCCAGGTAGTGCAGGGCCTGTTACTGCGGGAAGCAAGGAAGAGAGTTCATATTTATAGTGGACCTATTATTTGCCAGGTGTCACCCTAAATGTCTTTTTTTTTTCTCTGAAAGTAGCACAGATGCTTTAAGCATTTCACTTTTTGAGTTTCTGTTAACTAGTAAAAAAAACACCAAAAAAACAAACACTGCCCTGGCCAGTGTGACTCAGTTGGTTGGGTGTCATTCTATGCATCCAAAGGCTGCCAGTTGGGTCCCCAGTCAGAGAATGTGCCTGGGTTTCGGGCTCCATTCCCAGGAGGCGGTGTGCAGGAGGCAGCCAAATGATGTCTCTCTCTCTTGCTCGTCCTCTATTAAAAAAAAAAAAATCATCAATAAAAACATGCTAAAAAGAATAAGCTCTTCTACAGGAATATTTATATCCAGTTTCATTAGAAGGCAGGCAGGCTGGGAAAAAAGATGACACATTTTGGAAAAGAAAGTAGGAACATGACTCCTGGACTCAAGGGTACACAGTCATGAAAAGGCTGCAGCAAAGTACATGGAAAGAAGCAAACCTTTAAAGAAAAGAAGTCTCACCCTAGCCCAGGGGTGGGCAAACTTTTTGACTCGAGGGCCACAATGGGTTCTTAAACTGGACCGGAGGGCCGGAACAAAAGCATGGATGGAGTGTTTGTGTGAACTAATATAAATTCAAAGTAAACATCATTACATAAAAGGGTACGGTCTTTTTTTTCTTTTTTTTTTTTAGTTTTATTCATTTCAAACGGGCCGTATCCGGCCCGCGGGCCATAGTTTGCCCACGGCTGCCCTATTCGGTTGTTCAGTGCTTAGATCGTGGCCTGTGGACTGTAGGGTCATGGGTTCGATTCAGGTCAAGGGCGGGAAAACAAAAAAACCTGCTTTGCCAATGACCTTGGGAGAGATCAATGCCCTAGAGCAGTGATGGCAAACCTTTTGAGCTCGGCGTGTCAGCATTTTGAAAAACCCTAACTTAACTCTGGTGCCGTGTCACATATAGAAATGTTTTGATATTTGCAACCATAGTAAAACAAAGATTTATATTTTTGATATTTATTTTATATAGTTAAATGCCATTTAACAAAGAAAAATCAACCAAAAAAATGAGTTCGCGTGTCAGAGGTGTCATAAGCTCGCCATCACTGCCCTAGAGCGTAGAAATAATTTACCAACTCCAGATAGAAGTGAGAGTGAAGTAACATTTTTTAGGCAATTATAAAAGTCTTACAAGCAGCAGCAACTAAGGATAGAAGTCAATGTATCCAGGGAAATAACAGTTAATACTTATATAGTGCTTACTATTTGCCAGGTTCTGTTATGACCACTTTGCTCTTTAACAGGCACCACTCTGTGGGGTTGGTACTATTAGCCCACACTTACCAGTTTGGAAACAAATCAGAAAAGTTAAGTAACTTGCCAGCAGGCATGCTGCACCTGTCAATCAGTGTAGGACCAAAACTGCCTGTGGAATCAACATCCCTAATTTAAATTAAAACTTCAAATTCTTTAATCCCAAAATATCAGTGTTTAAAGAATTTAAAAAAAACACACAAAAAAACCCACCAACTGCTTCCCTCAAAACAAGTCCTATTATAGCAGGCAATTTGGTAAATTAAAAAAAAAAACTCTTTTAATAAAATTGACAAAATATTCTATCTTTAGAATAGTTATACAATAGTTGTAGTCAACAAACCAGCATATGCTTGCTATCTGCATCTTCCTAGGACCTCAAATTGTTTATTTTAGAAATAAAAACACGGGGAGGGGAAGACAGTACATTTTATTGTAAAATATGAAGCAGCAATGATTTGAACATGTGAGTTTCTGCTAGCCAGAGCACAAAATGAGTGGCTATCCACCAAGCAAATAAAAAACAAAAAACAAAAAACAAAACGCCATGAAGACAAGGTCACATTAAAATCTCTTTCTCTTGATAATTTCTGGTTTCCAGCTGACTGGATGAGTTTCTTCTGTCTAAAAATAGGAAAGTAATAAGAAAATAAAGTATTAGTTTTCTTCATATTTAGTAACTTCCTTCTTAACAAAAATAAGGTACCTGTTCTACATTATATTACTTGGCATTATATATTTAAGTTATTTAACAATTTCAGGAACAGTTGACAAACTTTTGGGATTATCTGAATCTAATAAAGAATGAGTAGATTCACTACAAATGCAGTTTATGTCCTTTCATCTCAAATAAAATTGCTATGTAGATATTCTAGTAACACCAAAGCTGATGATTCTAGAATTCATTTGCATAGCAATCTATTTGCTGTTGTTCTTATTGCAACATTTGCCCGGTAACTAATAAGAAAAGTTGGAATAAAATGAAGACAATGTATGGATTCATTGGCATCAATAAGACCAATATAGAAAGTTATGAGCTGACACTACTCAAGATGATAAATACTTTAACATTATAAAGATTCTTTTCCCTTCTGATAATTTCAGTAACTTTAAAATGAGCATATACTTGCAAAATTGGTACAGGTGAATTACTTTAATATGTATGTGAAACTGAGAACTTACCGCTGTATCATCCTCTCTGTACACTTTAATGGTTTTATCAGCTTCAGCCGTTAGTAACCGACTTTCAGACTGATCAAAAGCACAAGCAAATATTCCTGATTCACTGTCCAAAGACCCAGGCTGCACAGCTGCATGAACTCTCTGGAAATTGTAGCCAGTTCTCCAATCCCAAAGATGCATGGTTCCATTGTCAGCTTAAAGGGAAATAGCTAAATTGGGTATCCCTTCAACAATTCAGCTTGGCAAGCATTAAGCACGAACCATTAGCCGAGCACAATGGCAATAACTATAATTATAAAGATATATACGACACAGGCACTCAAGCTTCTCTTAATATTGGTTTGTCCACTTTCATTTGTGCTTAACTCAGAATTTATTACAGACCTCAAAAAGCACCACAAAGTGACATCCAATTCCAGAATGTGCAACCAAACTTTAGGTGATTCCCAGCATAAATCCCAAACTTAGATTTATCATGTGGAAACTCAGAGAAGGCTGAACTATGAAATATGCTACATGTATTATGAATATGCATGAACACACATATAAACATTCAAATATACATTAGGCAAGATCTGCTATAATATTTAGGTGTGAGGGCTTAAAATTTTACAAATATTTCCTCATTCACTAAAACAAACAATGACAGACTAAAGCAAGTTTATCATAAAAATCTTTTTACCTCCAGATACGAGCACTCCATCAGAATTTACTGTCAATGTGTTAATAATAGCATTATGACCAGAAAGATTTTGAATAAAACTTCCATCAGGGAATTTCCACTGTTTTATGTTATCTGGAGAACCAGATGCAAATGTGTAACTGAAATAAGATTAAAAACAGCAACAAAGTAAACCAAGTAAAAGAATGGTAGATTTAAAGATGCTTATTATGGTTGTATTTAGCATGTGTATTCAGTGATCTATGTAGTGTTAGCCAAATATTATTGTCATACCAAGAGGTAAAAATATCAAGACATTTACTCCAAGTTAAATCAGATTTTCAAAGTATTTTAAATGTGTTTTGAGACCTAGATTAATGTTTTATTCTCCTCTCATTTCCCCAATGACCTGTACTGAGCTAGAGCAATAAATGTGAAAAACCCTAAATTCACATAAAGGGCGAGGGGTTGTGCAACTATTTTGGAGGGGCAGGGGGATAAGAGGACAACTCAAGGAAAGAAACAGAGGGAAAGAGGAAGAGAGAGAGAGAGAGAGAAAGAAATGGAGTAAAGAAGACAGGAAAAGGAAAAAAGTAGAAGAGAGGGAAGGGGGGGGAGGACAAAAAGGGAGAAGAAAAAGAGAAAATACATGAAAATGGCCAGAAAAATGTCAGGGTGATGTGATATAACAAACAATAGCTTGGGATATTATGCTCCACCTCTTTGGAACTCTTTGGATACCCTGACTATAATGTTCATAGTTCCTACCTTTTTTTCCTATGTATATTAACTTCCCCCTTAAGAACTCAACTATTCTATGTATATCTCAGTGTACAATAAACAACACCTATGTCCAAAACATTAAATCTAGCTACTCTTAGCTTCTATTTTGACATCCAGTTTTTAAATATGACTTATTCATATTGTTTCATTTGACATTATTTACCATGTAGAAAATCTCATCTCATATAGGGCATGAAGCAAAATACCACACAGGGAAAAGGCCTGTAAATGAGTGTCTAAATGACTACAAAGTAGTACTAAAGTTGGTATTCCTGTACTATACCAAAAACTGAAGGAAGGAGAAAATAATTAGGAAGACATACTTACTGTCTTGGATGTAACACCACAGCTCTCACTGATTTTTTGTGATTTGTTAATGTGACTCTTGTTTTTCCAGCCACCAAATCCCATAATCGTATTGTAGTGTCATGGCTTCCTATAAGAAAACGCATATCCCCAAAACACAGATCAGGAAAAAGAATGCAAAACTATAATAAAATATGAAGTGTTCTCTCATAGACACATATATACTAAATGAAAGTCATATAAACTCTTGGCTAGTTGCTTTGTACTTCCAAAATTTTAGGTTGGTTTTAAATTTAATTCTTAAAAAAATGTAGACCTGGCCCACAGGACTCAATGGATAGCGTACTGGCTGGTGCACAGAAGGATCACAGGTTAGATTCCCAGTCAAGGGCAGGTTCTACCCCAGCCCCTGTTAGGCACATGTGGGAGTCAACCAATCAATGTGTCTCTCTCACATCAATGTTTCTCTCTCTCTCTCCCTCTCTTTCTCTATTCCTTCCTCCCGCCCTTCCACTCTCATAAAATCAATGGAAAATTATGCTTGGGTGAGGATTAACAACAAGAATGTAATACATGCTTGATGCACTGTCAACTGAACAGCTTGAACAAATGCCAATAACAGATAAAACAAATACATGATGTTATCCCCTAATGGAAGGGGAGGAAAAAATTCAAATGGTATTTTAGTTAATAAAACACATCACAGAATTATTTTCTAGTCTTAGAGTAAAGATCCATTGTTATTAACCTTCTTTTAATTAAAACAAGACTCAAACCTGTTCTAAAGATTACTGACGTCACGGTATTTTATCTTCTAATTTTAATTTTCTATACCAGTAATTCTGATGCTATCAGACATTACATAAGACTGTGTATGACATAGTCTATGATATGTAAAAAGTCTGACATAACAGAATAAAATATTACTACAATAAATTTCAAATGCACACAGCAACATGGTATATGCAATACAAAGCGAGAGTCACAGCAAGTATGAAAAATACATGTACAATAATGTATTGATATGAATACATGGTAAACTTGAAAGTATGAATTTTACCAGTAATAATTTGTGGTTCTGCAGCTTGACACCTCACTGTAGCAACTGCATTTGTATGTCCAGATAATGTATGTACACTGGCTTTAGTTCTCACATCCCAAATCTATAAAAAAAAAAAAACCAACACATACACACAATAGACATACTGTCAAAGAGAATAGGTATTCATAGCTCAGGCAGGTAACTGAATGAACTCAAGGTTGGGAATTTAATACGCAACAGTGCCTGAATATAAAGAAAGCCTTAAATGAGAGAGAATAATTTCAAAGCTGGCTGGGGGTTACAGATAGGAGACAGCTGATGGGTTGGGGGGTGGAGGGGGGCCTAAAAGAGTAGGAGACTGGAAGTGAAGGTATAGGTATAATGGAACTATTAAATGAAACCCGCGATGGCAGAACGGATGTGAGAGTGTCACATTTCAGAGGCAGGGCATTTCCAATAAACTTGGTGAGGCCACAGACGGAAGATGAAAGGGTAAAAACAAGCCAGGAACAGAGGGACTTGGTTATTGGTGAGTCAAAGTAACAATATTTAATTCTTTACCAAACAATATATGACTCTAATACCAAATATGTATAAGATGCAATGTATATAAAGATAAACACCAAGCTCTATTCCATTTACCCGTGCAGTTGAATCACGACTACAGGTTACCAGCACATCAATTGTTGGGTGCAAATCCAAACCATACACTGCACTCAGATGTCCATGATAGTGCCTTATAACCTACAAATATAGCAGGAAAGTTAAAATTTCTATAATTAGAAAGAAAACCTGTGGCTCATAATGTGTGGAGTTTTATTTGTTTCTTCAATTCAAGTCTGAGCTCAGGTCAAGTGTAGAAACCTTCATAATTACAAAGGTCAGTAGTCAAACCTTTTCATCATTGCTCAGAACTGATCAGCCTTTCAAACACGTATGTCCCTACCTCCCCACCCCAATCTCATTCATCCAGCACCAAGTCCTCAGTTATCCACTGTCACCTTAACACACACACACACACACACACACACACACACACACACACACACTTATTGTGTTAAATTACTTTATACTTTTGCTTCTCAGAACTAGAGAGATCATGCATCAGGAGGACTGGAAGGTCTTCTGATGCTCAGATTTGGCTATTTTCATCACTGATCCACTTCAATAGGAGCAGATCTCAGAGAATCATTGTTTTCAAAACTTATATCCAAGCTTACCTTATTATATTCAAGATCCCAGCATTTGACCTGTTTGTCTTCTCCACAGGAAAACAGGTATGGGCTCCTCGCACTTACTATCACACCACGAACTGTACTAATGTGCCCAGTTAATGACAGTTTTAATTTGCCACTAGCCAAGTCCCAGATCTGCAATCAAAGAATATTTCATTTTTCTCCTTGTTGGTTATCCCAAAACAAAAATTTTATGATTCTGATATTAAAATTAAGTCTCCAAAATGTGAAAGTTATGAACATATAAAAATGTTTTTTTAATTTGCCAAAACCCCTCCCCCTCAAAAAAAAAGAAAAGCAGGGGGGAAATCAGAATTAAAAAGCAAGCTCAAACTGGGAAAATATTTGTAACAGATGACAAAAAGTTAAAATTCTTGCCCTAACCGGTTTGGCTCAGTGGATAGAGCATCGGCCTGCGATCTGAAAGGTCCCAGGTTCGATTCCGGTCAAGGGCATGTACCTTGGTTGCGGGCACATCCCCAGTTGGGGGTGTGCAAAAGGCAGCTGATTGATGTTTCTCTCTCATCATGTTTCTAACTCTCTATCCCTCTCCCTTCCTCTCTGTAAAAAAATCAATAAAATATTTTTTAAAAAAAGTTAAAATTCTTAACAAAGAAAGGATATCATTGTTAACAAAAGTACAAATGTTATAGTACTAAATTAGCCAAGGATGGCAACAACTTAAAAAAAATCCTATGGAGTCTGGCTGCAGTAGCTCAGTTGGTTGAGCAATGTCCTGTGCACCGAAAATTTCCAGGTTCCATTCCTGATCAGGGCACAGACCTGGGTTTTGGGTTCAATCCCGGTTGGCAGGTTCACTAAGGGCAACCTATGGATGTGCCATTGATGTTTCTCTCTCTCCCCCTAAGCATGTCCCCAGGTAAGGATTAAAAATAAAACAAAAAACCCGTAAGGAAACTAAACTAAGTGTTCATTAACTGATACATGCATAAAGAGAATGTGGCATATATACGTACAATGGAATATTATTGAGCCATTAAAAAACAAAATCTTGCCACCTGGGACAACATGAATTGTCCTTAAGGGCATTATGCTAAACAAATTAAGTTAAAGAAAGACAAATAGAACATGATCTCACTTATATGCAGAATTTAAAACAGAAACAAAAACCTGAAAAACTAAGCTCATAGATACAGAGAACAGACTGGAGGTGCCAGAAGCCAGGGTGAAGGATGGATAAAATGGATGAAGGGAGTCAAAGGGTACAAAGTTCCAATTACAAATTAGTAAGTTATGGGGATGTCATTATGTATGCATGTTGACTGCAGCTAATAATACTAGACTGCATACTTGAAAGCTGCTGAGAGTACATCTTAAAAGTTCTCATCACAAGAAAAAAAAACTTGTAGTTATGTACCACGACAGATATTAACTGGACTTTTTGGTGATCATATCACAATAAAACAAATGGCAAATCATTATGTTGTACACCTAAAATTAACCTAATATTATATGTCAATTACAAGTCAATAAAAAAAAATTTTAAAAACCCTAAAAGTAGTTTTATAAGGTATGAAAAAATTGTTCCTCACTAAAAATTCTATATGAACAATTTTTGAAAGATTGGATAACCATTTCTGCTTATCATATGAATAGAAATTTTAAACATAAACAATCAATAAGCTGAAAAGAATCCTCTCATACACTGTAAGTATCAATGAACCATTTTAGAAAATAATTTGTGCTTTGGGTGCCAACTTAAACAAATGTTTGACCCATTAATTCCATTTCCGAGAATTGAAAATAAAGTAATTTAAAAATAGAAAAGGCTGGCCATGGCTGGGCAGCTCATCCGATATGCTAAGGTTGCGGGTTTGATCCCCAGTCAGGACACATAGAAAAATCAATCAGTGAATGCATAAATAAGTGAAACAACAAATCTCTGTTTTTTTTCTCTCTTCCTGAAATCAATAAATATAAAAAATTGAAAGAAAATAGATTATAGGATATATAAGTGATGTACTTCCATGGAACCATTTAAAAAGATGTTAGCTTTTTCACAGAAATATGCCTTTGATATAATGTTAAGTGCAAAAAGTAAGGTTGAAAATTACATTACCAAGCATGATTTTTAAAAGATACACATATATATACACGAAGGAAAAAACTCAGAAGAAAATGCACTGATACATATGCACAGAAATAAAAACGAAAGAGAAATTCATTCAAATACTTCACAGTGGTAGGATTATATATGGGTCTATGTTCTTTTATATTTCTCTCTACTTTCCACATTTTTTATAGATGACCATGCTTTAATTTTATAACCAGAGAGGAAAAAACTTAAATATCAAGGAATTTGTGGTAGGTAGTCAGCATATTCTGTTTGGAAAAAACTGTTGTTTAAATACCACTTTTCAAACACATGGAACTTTTAACTGGTATAGACAGTAAGTTTTACTTCATACTCAGGTCTAAGAAGTCAAAGGAACTACAAGAGCAATTTCCTCAGGAAATAACTTAAAACAGATTAAATGTACATGGAAAATACAAAGCAATTCCCTCCTTATTACCTTTATAGTTCTGTCAGCAGATCCAGTAACAAACCACTGATTTCCAGGTTCCACAGCAATACATCGAACCCAGCCAAGATGCCCACTGATCACCTGTATGCAGAATGTAGAATGCGTAGACACATAAGTTAAAGGTTATTCAATTTCGTATCATTACATGTAAGTTAAAGTTCGTTCAAATTTAAATTGACCTCCAACATCTTCCAATGATAAGAATATAAGATTATTTGACAGAGTTTTGAATGATACAAGTATTAAATTACCTTCAATCCATGAATGAATGCACAAACTGTGGTATGTCTATACAATGGAATACTACTCAGCAATAGAAAGGAATGTATTAATACTTGCAACAACTTGGATGAATCTCAAAGGCATTAAGCTGAGTGAAGAAAGTCCCAAAAGGAACACACTGAATGATTCCATTTATGTGACGCAGTTGAAAAGACACAGTGATGGAAAACAAATGGTTGCCAGGGTTGGGGAAGGGTATGGATATAAAAAATGGAACTTCTATATCTTGATTGTGGTAGTGGCTACCCAAATCTATACAGCTATTAAATTTATTAGACCAAAAGAAAATCTATTTTACTGTATGATATTCTGAAAAGTAAAATATAACATATTTAAATTATAAGTAGCTGTGCAATTTCCCTACTACATACATTTTACTTTAGATCTGGTACATTTTAAATCATTTTAATTTACTATAATTTAAAAGATAATCAGTAGAGCCAAAGAAATGTACTTAAATACTATTTTTCCCCTTGAGCTCCATATTAAATACCTCAAGCACATTACTACATTTATTTCGCCTGCTCTCCACATTTAGTAGCTTTCTATCAATATTTTATACAAAATACAAGTCTGCTTTCCAAGATATTTTAGATAGTGCCTAAGTCCCTTCCCCCACCCAACCTCTTTACCAGTTCCCATTTTCACTCCTTTTCCTCCTTATTCTATTCGTAGCTCTTGTGAAGTGGAAAGTAGTGATCACGTTTCATGTAGTGGAATAATATACAGATTCACTCACCCTGTAGAGTTTCCATGGCGGGTGCCACTGGGGTTTTGGCATTGTCGGGGCCTTCTTTGCCATGAGTGCAGAGTTCTTGGCATTGCCACCCTCCATAACAGCCTACGTGTGGAACAGATTACATTATTAAAGATATCACACTTGAGTTTTCATGTTATCAAAAATAGAAATGCAAAGAGGGGATTTATGAAGTTTTCTCAGAAATGGAAATTCAAAGAGGGAATTTTTGAAAGCAGCTCCCTCTACCCCATGAAGAGAAAGGGCAGCTAAACATGTTTGCATAACTAGAAAATGAGCCTAAGATTTCTAATAAAAACTGTATTTTATTATGTTAATTTAAAAAAGCAATTTAAAAATCGGAGAGGCAGAACATTGAAGAGCATATATCACTGTGCATAAGCTCAAAACCCAGCTCTACCAATTAATAGCTTCTTGACCTTCGGTAAAAATTATGTAACCTATGTGCCTCATTTTTAAAGTGACCATAGTGGATTAATGCCATTGCCCTTCATTGTCATATTTTAACATCATTGATTTAATATTGCAATGGAGTCATTGATAGGTCCTTCTATCTTCCCCCCAAATATTTCAATACTATTTTTAAAAGGCATTCTAGCTAATATACCATCTACTGTTACAGTATCCATTTATTGAAAAATACTTAAGCCCATAAAGTTCCTAGCCTCAAAAAGCTAACATTACTTCCTCCAAAGGAGGCAGAAAGCCTGAGCAGAGACCTGTGAAGGGAGACTAAAAACAGGCTGTGGTGGGAGAACTATTCACTTCCTAAAGTCAAACCAAGTGCATAATATGCTGAAGAAGTAAAGCTGACACTTATTTCAAGTGACAGCATATTTTCAGGTATTCTTTCTCTAACCACTTCTACCAATAACAGTAGTTGCCATTTACTTATAAACTTTTAGTACTCAACTGTATAAATCAACTGAGAGTTTAATTTTAACACATTTCGTACCGGTCACGAGTTTTCGCGCGCCATCTGTTAAGGACTGCCCACGAATTTTCTCGCTCACGAGTGTTCTCGTGTTTCGCGGGGCGCGGTTACAGTGTTTTGGCCAGGTTCAAGCCTCGGACTAATGAAAGGACAGGGTCCTCTCACTGCCACGTGCAAGTCCCAGCTGGAGGGCAGGGCCCTCCCAGCACAATCATAGCCAATGGCTATGATTGAACCTATGGTCCGAACACATAGCCCCACGTGCCTTGTGATAGAGTTCAGGTGCATGTAGTTGAGTGAGGTTGAGACTCACGAGAATACTGTAAACAACGTGATCACGCCCCTACTTTGCCTCGTGGCATCTGCTATAAAATAAAGACATGGCTTGTGGGCGCTGGCGTTGTCTCCTCTTCAGGGAGCAGAGTCCCACCGAGACCCAGCTATTATTCTGTCTGTCTTTCCTTAATCCTTTCACCACCACCCCCACTCTTGGCCATGCTGGCGCTGCACAGTCCACAGTGCTGTACCTTATAAACTGTGGACTTTTCAATTCATTTAGATTTAGAGTGTACAACGTCCTCAATCCACAAGCAAAAATGAAGTATAAACAGTTTCTGCTATCGGTGGCGAGAGACTGGATAACGGATGACAATAATGAAGGCTCTCCGGAACCAGAGACAAATCTGTCCAGCCCTTCCCCTGGGGGTGCAAGGAGAGCACCTCGTAAAGACCCACCCAAAAGGTTGTCAGGTGATATGAAGCAGCATGAACCTACGTGTATTCCAGAGAGTGGAAAGAAAAAATTTCCTACGAGAGTCTGCAGAGTTTGTACCGCCCATGGAAAAAGGAGCGAATCTAGATACTTATGTAAATTTTGTTTGGTCCCTCTTCATAGAGGAAAATGTTTTACGCAGTATCATACGTTAAAAAAGCACTAGGAACTTTAATTGTTTAATTGTTTATGTAAATAAAAATGTTATAATTATTGAAAAACAACACCTAAAGTGCATTATGATCTGTAGTTATGATGATTTAAATAACGTGCAGTTTGCCCAAAAACGTGCAGTCCCTGGCATATGTCTTACAGATTTCTATGCGGTACGCAATGTGTTAAAAAGGCTTTTCATATCTAAAACATACTTATACAAGTCTCAGAATAAAATTTCTTACATTTTAAGCAGTGGATAATAAAGAGCAAGGTCACAATATCTTCACCAAAATAAACATAAACAATGTGTAAACAGACACAGAGTTAACACAATTTTAAATTCTAAAAAATATGTCAATTCACTAGCAAATTAAATTTTGGGGAAATTTAAATAGAATAAAGGGAAACCAGGCAACATATTCCAAAAGGTAGACACCTGCAGTGTGATCGGACACAGAAACTTACCAAAGTCATCCCTGCAGGCTGTGAGCGGTCAGAGCCTCCAGCAGGTGCAGCACGATTTGCATCAGCCCTGAAGCAAAAAACATCAGACTCTAAGTACTTAATCCCTCCAATCACGTTTTACAGAATGAGTTTTATATGTTAAATTTTTGTAAGCACCGATAAAGAAAAATGTCCTGTAATACACACTTATAAAGAAACAAATTTAAAAATGAGGAAAAAATGTGAACAGTGAACTGTGCTTGCAAAATCCTTATAATGCGAAGCATATTTCATACCTGGCCTGAGAAGAAGGTAATGCTACAGCTAAGGACTGTGCAGCTGATTCACTTGGCATTCTTTGGATCTTAGTATCTGCTGTTAAAGCAACCCCTGTTAAAATTAAAAAAACACACACAAAAAACCTTTTAGTAGCTATCTTTGTTTTTATTCACATGCATTTAAAATAAAACACTGGAGGAAACCATACCAAAAAGGTAACGGTGATTATCTCCAGGTGATGACATTTCAAAAACTGATTACGTTTTGTATGCCTTTTGTCACTAGCATTTTACCACAAATATTGCCTAACAATATATAACTCAAATTTAATTTAATCTCAAGCAGCTTGGTATTAGCAAAGTCTAAGACAGTAAAGTTAAATTTCTATCATCTTGGGATATTACCATCAGATATAAAAATTAAGCAGTTCCCTAAATACTAACAGAATGTTTTAAAGAGTAAATGTATAACATACAACAAGCAGTAATTCTCCTATACTTTCAATATCGTGAATTCTGTACTCTAAAATTACTAGACCCTAAATATACTAAGATTTTTTATCTTCTACCTTGTTATACTGGCCACTCCATTTGTGTGCCAATTCCTCCATACGCACACACCAGGAAACATTTCTATCATAGCTGCTTCTATACTAATGCTTCTAGCATCATTTTTATAAGCTTAGTGATATTTATGTCTGCCTAAACCTCCAAATAATAAGCTTGTCTTAGTCTGGAGCAGTCTTATTGTCTTTGAATTCCTAGCACAGTGAATAAAAAAATATAGATGCTTAACCATGTGTACGCCATAAGTGTCTATAGACGCAAGCAGCGGAACTTTTTAAATTAAATTCAAAATATCGTGGCAGTTAACTGGCTAAGTATGTTTGCCAAATAAATGTTTGTGATACTAAGTGTACGCCATAAGCGTCTATAGACGCAAGCGGCGGACCTTTTTAAATTAAATTCAAAATATCGTGGCAGTTAACTGGCTAAGTATGTTTGCCAAATAAATGCTTGTGATACTAAGTATTAGTTCATTATCATCTAAAAAGCTATGCCTGGATGCCTGGCTATTGAGCTTATTTTCTACTTTATAGGCTATGGGAATCATATTATTAACTCATTCACAGAAATACATGTGACAGTAAGACTTTTTCAATATGCAGATCACTTACCAGGTCCTGGTGGATAGGGATGTGTACCGGTCACCAAATATTCAACTTCTTGTCCTGAGAGAGAGAAGGAGAAAGAGAGACAGATAGGAAGAGGATAGGAAGAGATTTATCAATGGCAAAATTTATCTTATGTACTAGTATTATCTCTTTTAATAAATTAAATATTAAACTATCAACCAGATTTCTAAAAATTTCACAACTAAGCCCAAGCCTCAGAAATAAGGTAAGTTGATCATTTTTGTTTTGACTTCTAAAGATCACATATATAGTGATTTCCTTGACCATTTGCTAACATGTCAAGAAAGTTGTGCAATTACCATAGGGCAATGGTGTGTAGCGATCATCCTATAAAGTAATAATCCACTGTTTTTTCTTCTAAGCAAATGGTTTCCCTGGAGGATCTTGGATTATCTTTAATTCATTACAATTTCAGTACTTAATGTCATCTTTCTGAAAAAAGTGATAGTCTACCCACATATTAAGAATTTTTTCTTTATCTCCATCATGACCTTCTCCATATCCTAAGAATTTCTGCCATCATTATACTACCATTATCCCATTTCCTACAGAAAAACACCTACCAACCAATAACCTCACTCACTACTCCAATGGGGAAATCAATACAGGTATAGGTGTTCAAGAGGGTTTGGCTCTAATTAGTCCTCCCAGGAGGGGTACTAATAACAGATTTCATGTATCTATTTTTAAAATTCACATATAAGTCCTTACATTTCTGACAATGCCATACTCACCTTGATTTGCAGGATATTGTTTATGACCATATGAATCTGATGCATTCTGAGGACCCTTCTCTTTATAATTTTCTTTCAAAGTAGGCATGTGCAACACAGGACCATACTCATTCCGTAGCTTGATTGCCATTTTTCGTTTGTGACTATTTTAAAAAGTTATAAGCATAAGAATGTATTTTTAAATATATTCCCCAATATAAACACATTCATAGGTAGCCAGGAAACAAGTACTTAAATAGCTTATTAGGTTTGCCTAATCATGTAGAAGAATTTTCTATAAAGATTTTAAAGTAAAACTATACTTTAAAAGCTCAAAATTTCCAAGTTCATTTCCCCCTTTTTAAAAAATGCTATTATTAATTTTTAGAGAGAAATGGAGAGAGAGAGAGACACTGATGGGAGAGAAAAACATCGACTGGTTGTCTTCTGTATGCAGCATGACCTGGGATGGAACCCAAAACCTGGACATGTGCCCTGACCAGGAATCGAACCAGCAATCTTTTGGTGTATGGGACGATGCTCAACCAACTGAGCCATACCAGCCAGGGCTCATTTCCACACTTTTATTCACAATCCACCACACAGAATCTATCAAATCCAAATATTGTTATAGTTTGTAAATCAATGATTCATGAGTTATCAAGGATCTGATTTTAAAATATATAGAAACTAAAGTATCTTTAAAAAACCCTGGACGTCAATATATTTTCCTTCAAATGCCTAAATATAAAAATATAGTAAAAGTTTTCTAGTAACCTTTACTGGATATATCAAAAAGGTTAAAACTAATCAAAGTACTTACTTAGTTCAAACATTATTTTTAAATTGTACCTAAATTACTTTTAAAAATAGTCCACTTTAGCCCTGGCATCGTCCAATGCATGAGGAGGCTGCCGGTTTAATTCCCAGGCAAGGGCACATGCCCAGGTTATGGGTGCTTGCATTTCTCTTTCTCTCTCCCCCCCTTTCCCTTCCTCTCTTTCTAGAGAAAAAAACCAATAAACTATTCTTTAAAAAACAAAACAGTACACTTTACAAATTAAATATAAATGCTTGTTTGAGTAATTAAGCAGATTTTAAAAGAAGGGTAAATGGCAAGTGAGGAACATTGCACATAATGTAAATCCCAGACTGGAGCAGGACATGTAGAACTAAAAATATGCTACCAAAAATCTTCATCATACTAATAAGAAAAAGATGGGAGTAGAAGTACTGGCCAGGTACAGTTCAGCTCAGCAAGGCTCTGAGAGCAGTGGGAGAGAAGCTGAAGCACATTCAAAATGACTAATTATAAAATATTACACATAAAAGGGACTCACCTAATTACTGAGTATTTGTAAAATGCAATTAATTAATTAATGTACAAGATAAGTCAAAAAAAAAAAAAAGTCAAATCAGCTTAAATTATGCCCTAACACTACTGGTTATTGAATAGATCACTTGTGTCTGTTAGTGTCACTCACTAAACTTTAAAGGTTCCCCTCTCCCTGCTCTCGTCCCCCAATATTAGAAATTTAAATAGTCTAGCAATAAAGAAGGAAACTATACCTACCTCTCTTCATCCAAAGGCACAGGTTTTCCATTATCGGCTACAAACATGTCATGGGTCCTCTTCAATGACCTGAACACAAGGGTATGCACAGAATGCTTCTGTACCTCCTAGAAAGAAAAAGTGGAATTACATGTCTAGCTACAAACTACACGTATCAAACCTAAATTAAAATAAAAAATTAGTCATTACATGTTTAAAAATGTAAGAAACTTTGCCCCACTCACCACAGCTACTTATAGCAAGCCATGGCAGTCAGGTTCGGATGAAAAGGTGAAGCTCCTCTTTGGCTAGAGCCCCAAGTTGACCAAGTGAGTGATGCTTAAGATTAGTCATCCTATCCTCCTATATAATAAAAGGCTAATATGCAAATCGACCGAAGGTGGGAGGGTGCGGGGAACAACGGCCGCTATGATGTGCACTGACCACCAAGCAGCAGACGCTCAACACAGGAGCTGTCCCCTGGTGGTCAGTGCACTCCCGGGTTCGGCCAGAAGCCGGGCTGACAGCTGGCAAGCGCAGCAGCAGTGGTGAGAGCCTCTCTTGCCTCTGTGTCAGTCGGACATCCCCCAAGGGCTCCCAGACTGGGAAAGGGCTCAATGCAGGCCGGGCTGAGGGACAACCCACCCTCCAACCCCCCAGTGCAGAAATGTCGTGCACCAGGCATCTAGTTTATTCAATAAAAATGTACTGAGCTATTAATATGTCTGGTAGGTATCCTGCTAGGAGCTAACAATAGTATGATGAAAAGACAGTCTGGCCCCTATGTTCAAGACAAAAATAAGCAAAGTAACTCCGCATTTTAATAAGTACTATGAAGGAAAGAAGCAAGGGACCGAGAAAACGGAGCAAGAACTTAGGATATGATGAAAGATCTCTCTGAAGTGGCATTTAAGCAGAAAGAAAGTTAGCCTTGCACAGAAAAAAAGGTAAAAACAATCCGGGCAGAGAGAAAAATGCCATGAACAAAGGTGTTCAGTAAAGCAAATAATGCCAGGAGCTGCAGAACAGTTACATTTATTTGATGAGAGGATGAGTTGGGATGCCAGATAAGGATGCAAGGATGGATAGACCAGGTGCAGGTCAGGGGATTTTTTTTTTTAAAGAACATTGCAACCGTCTGTATTTTCGATCTAATAACAAAGGGCTAGTAAAGGGTTTTAAGCAAGAAAAGCAGGACCAACATACATTTTAAAACATGCCGGTTGGGGAGAAGGGGAGTTGTAACAAAAATGGAAACAAGGAGACCCGCGGAGGGCTAATTCACCTGTCCAGGTGAAAGATGATGTCGGTGTGAATTGAGGTGACGGCCGTGGGTATATAGACAAAAGTCAAGAAATAGTTCTGAGAAAACAGAGGCAAGGCTTTGCTAATACCATGACTGTCCCAGCGAGGGGAAGATGCACACCTTCAAGAATGGCAGATTTTCCTGGAATCAGCTGGAGTAAGAGCCACAGCGAACAGCACCAGAGAAGACCACCAGTCTCATCGGACACAGAACCACTGGCACGACCCTGCGGGCGCCGAATACCAGCGGTCGGACGTGGACAGAAGGCCCGCCCCCGAACACAGTGCCCCCCGCTGGGGCCCCAGGGTCGACTCAGGGCGGCAGGCATGACCTCAGGCTTCCCGCTTGGACGCAACCTGCAAGCCGTGCTTTCATCCAGCCTCTTTCCCTCCAGAAAACCTTGGGACACCCGGCCTCGGCCAAACCAGCCCCCCTCGCAGCCTCCACCCCGCCTAGAGTCGCAACACACCCGATCCCCCGCGCCCGCCGCCAACGAAAAGCAGCCCCAGAGCCAACACTGCAGCCCCCAAGGGTCACTCTACCTCGACCATGATGCTGCCGTGTATTCCGTGGCTCCGGCAGCAAAGACACCAAACATCAAGGCAGACACAGCCGCCACCACGGTGCAGCCTCTTCCGGAACCTGGGGCCCCGACGCCGGATGTGACGTAGCTCCGCACCGCGCGCGCTGGTCCGCCGCCGGCGGCCGGGCTCGGGGGGCGGGCCTTTCTCCTCCCGGCCTCCTCTGGGGCGGAGTCCCGCGTCTCCGCAGCCTGGGCTCCTGCAACACGTGCGTTTCCAGGAATGAAGAAAAACCGGGTGGGATTGCGCGCCTGCAAACTTGAATGGACGAACGTTTCACTGGCCTTGCCTTTTGCTCAACCTAATCGGCTCCACTGAACTTGTCCCCAGGGCGTACGGCGTCTACTTTGAGAGGGAGGACAAAATCTATCAAAAGTATAGCAATGTGAACTGATGATCTCATTTAGAAATTCATTAGTTTTTAATTCATTAAACCCATTAAGGTCCTACTTGAAAAATGCAATCACTCTGAATGTGAGTGTGAGTTTTGCCGAGAACTCACTTTTTTCTGACAGTGGTCACTGATGGTAGGGCTTGCAAGGAAATGCCGTAATTCTAAAATACATACTGTGCTAGATTTCATATAATTATAAAGGCAGTAATAGCTACACAATAGAACATGATTTTAAATGGCAATAAAGTTATAGAAATGTAAGCCAGATTCTAATATATCTGGAAATACAATAGTCTATTAGGTCTATTAGCTTGTTAACCCCCTTCCCCCCCCCCCCCCCCCTCAAAAAAATGTATAAATCCAGACTCATGAAAACATTGTAATGATTTTGGTCATTTGGACTTACTGTGCTCCAAATTTTGAAAAGCTCTTGAATTCACAGAATTATACACTTGAAAGTTTTAGAGCTCAGTGACCCTGTTATCTAGCTCAGAGATCCATGAATTACCTCTGTTGTATGTAAATTTTGTGTTAATAAGAACCTAAATTTTTTTCTGGTGGGGGGATCTATAGGTTTCTTTGGATTCTTTAAAGGATCTGGGACCAGATTGAGAATCCCTGTCCTCGCCGACACCAGGATGTCTTATTTGAGCAGTAGGGGTCGCTGCTGCTCTTCCTAGGGGGAGGAGGATTTTTCCCTAAATCTGATCGGAATAGTAACTTAAATGTAAACATTAAGTCTGTTTCTGTGAAACCAATAATACAAATTTTAAAGGAAGGCCTCCTTTCTTGGGTAAGCTACTTTTTAAAAAAACTCACCCAATACTGAGATCTCTTTATTCTCTTCCAAATATGTGTGGTCTTTGTCTTTGAATAATGATAGGAAATCATAAGAGTAGATTTCATTGCCAATTTTATACGGGATTTTATTGGGGTTTTTTTGTAGGAAGCTTTTTCTCATTTTTATACTCATAAAAATGATAAATATTATTTCTTCTTTCTTGATCACAAATCTTAACCACCCTGGTTGGTGTGGCTCAGTAGGTCAGGTGTCAAAAAGTTGGTTCTGCCCTGGCATCTACTGTGGGCTGGATTCTGAGGGAGGGGGCATGCCAGAGGCAGCCAATGGATGTTTTGCTCTCACATTGATGTCTCTCTCTCTCTAAAAATCAATGAAAAAATCTTTATCAAACACTACTCTAATTATGCACAGTATTCTTAGAGTTGTTTGGTTCAATGTCTTTCTTCACATTTTTTTAGATTTATAATTCCTCACTAATTCAAAAGGAAGGAATGATGCAAGTTTTCATTTCTTTTGGAATTTCTCAGGTCAGAAACAGAAAAAGAATACTTGGACAATCTGTCTTTCTAATCATAGTAAATTTTAAGAAATTTTTTTCCAGTTATAGATGAATATTAACATTCTCATCAGCCAACCACAAAACTAGAATTTCCACTATCACCATTATTATCCACACTTACTTTTTTTCTGAAAGTACTAATCATGCAATTGGGTGAAAGATGAAATAAGTGGTATAAAACAGGAAATAATGATGCAAAGCTATTTGTCTTTGCAAATGGTATAATTTTATGCCGGGGGAAAACAAAGGGGGGAATCAACTGGAGAAACTGTTGGAAACAATAAGAAAATTCACTAAGGTATCTGAGTACAAAAATAATATTCAGAAATCACAAGCTTTCATATATGTAGTTAAAAATATAATGGGGAAAACCATTTTATAACAACATTAAATGAAAAATGTGCAAGGCAGATTTTAAAAACTTAAGGGACATTAAAAATATTTGAATTAATGAAATTGCATACTTTATTATTGGATAGGAAGATTCAAAATAATAAATGTCTATTATGCCATTAATCTAATCCTGAGAGCATTTTACAGAAAATATTGTTAATTTAATTCAAGAAATAATTATTAGTGAAAAATTTTTTAATGAATATCAATAAAACACTCTAAAATAAAATAAACGTTTTTATTTTCTACAGTTTCACTGCTGGTACTGTATACTAAAGTATAAAAACTTTTAATGATTTATTGTTTGAAAAATACAGCTTATTTTCCTAATGTGCAATTTATACTATAAAAAATAATCAATCTGATTCCTAAAAATTTGATCTTAATTTTCCCTTTGGATTAGTTTAGCAAACCTTAGAAGCCATCTCAACCTAACTAACAGGGCATGGGTACTATTAGAAGGACATCAGGTGTCTCACAGAAGAATGAAATGATCAAGGTTAGAAGTTTGGGTTATTTCTGCTGCTGGGGCTGGTAGACTTTCTCTCTAGAATGCTGCCGTGAATATGATTGGGTAAGAGGTCAGGGATCACAATATTAACAGGACCACTGGAGCCCCACGCCTGCATTTTAGGGGTCATTCCAAGAGAAGGGGGCAGAACTCCAACAGGTGCTCATTACACCTTTGTGGTCTTGAGTCCCAAAGTGACAGAAGCAAGAGAGCATCTCTGCATTTTCTCTAGTTCTTGTGATTGGCATTGAGTTGAAGAAGAAAATATCCCATTTTTCCCATATTGCCATGCTCTGTAGCAATTGGTTCCCTTACGAAAGACAAAGTGGCATCTTCCAAGGCAATAGAGGGAGACTTTCCACAAGAGCCAGAACTAGCTAACCCCATCTCACCTTCCCGGCTTTCCCATTGTGGATGGCTAACCAATTACAATGGTCACCACCACACTGGCCTCAGGCTTGCCCATCAAAGCTCTGGTGCAAACAGGCCTCCAACTCTTTCGTATTAATTTTCCCTTGAATAGTGGTTTCCAAACTGTAGCTCAGGATACAACAAGAAAAATACACAGAGTCTAACAGTGATTTAGTATAGTTACTCAAAAGCTATGCCTATTTAGAAAGAAACAGCATTTTATTTTATTCCCTCACTTATTCATACACTCAGATCTTGTTCAACAGATATTTATCAAATATCTTCCATGTGTCAGGTGTATGATATAAACCATACAGTCATTCAAACCACATGTTTCAAGTCCTAAAGCCTTTTCCATTTATATCTCTTTTCCTTCTGAAGGAGGTTATGTCCCTAAGTTACTGTTCTCAAAGCCTCATCTGTCCATCTGAGGCGCTGTGCATCTTATAAGTAGTTTTCATTTTCTGTCTTCCCCTTGTGGGGGTCTAAAAAAGAATACTTTTCCTCCCACCTTCTAAATGCTTTTAGCTGGGCTAATCAATTAACAGAGACAGATTACCAGGGAGAAATAAATTTTAATACATAAGCATGAAAATTCCTAAGGACAGTGAGGCAAAATTGGGTGTATATGTCATTTTGGACAAAGGAGAGAAAAAGGAAAATGGGATTTTAGGTTTCAAAAATGAAGATGGACAATGTACACATAACTGAGGAAGAGTAGGACACACGTGACAGGCAAGTTTTTGCTTCAGGGGGACAAGGGTGATCTAGCTACCAGTCTCTGCTTGGTGCCTTTCTATCTACCATATTTAATTCAACTTAGGCAAAGGTGAAAAAGCTAAGATTTCCTTCATGGAGCAGGCCTTTCCATCTGAATCTGTTGGGAAGAAAAGGGGGAGGGTTAAAGGTGTGGGTTTTGGGGGGTTTTTTTAGTCTCTTTTTCTTTAATAACCAGCTTAGAATCACTACCCCAAAATGCAGATGTAGGGTGCCAAAACTTTGGTGCCCTTCTCCATGTAGACATAAAACTTCATGAAAATAGGTCGCAAATCTCTCCTGGTCATCAAAGTATCCTTGGCCCCTAGCACACTACCTGGCCACAAAGTTGGCGCTGTATATGATGAACACAAATTGCCTTGTGCTCTGTAAACTTGGCCTGACATGAATTGTAAAACTATCAAGAGCAAGTGCATTGACAATCAGTGCCCACAAATCTGCCCTTTGCGCCAGAGGGCTGCTGGGCAGGATGAAAGATGTTTTCTGTCACTGATTTACTGCCCTTGACTTATGTAATAGTATCAGCGAATATGAAGAACACTGCACTCTTGACCTGAAATCATAACTGAACAAATAGTACTCCCTTGCTCCTCCACCAATGGCATCAACATTTGAAAGAAATGAAGTATTTTAGTTAAGCAAACTCTCTGCAAATATATTCCTTATCCTTGAAAACATGGTAACGTACTTTATAATATTAGGCAGTTTAGTCTGTTAGTGTAGCAGTCAATAACTCTACAGGAAAACAATATCTAACAAGGACTAGAATGAAAGAAACTCATAGTTATTATCACTGCATCAGGCATGCCTCTCATACAGACAGGAATATCCACACCCACACCCTTATAGGAAAAGTGAAAATGTAAGTGGAAATAAAGGCTAAGAATGTGTGTGCCAGTATGAGACACTGTAGTCCCAAGACAATGGGCTAGCTAGCCAAAGCAACAACAACCACCAAAGCAAAAAGATACCAGGAAATTCTTTACAATGTTTGTATTTGTTGGGCAATATGGTGTAATGGGCACAGAGCATGGACTGGAGGGACAGACAGACCTGGGTCAAGTCCTGGTTCTAGTACTTACTACCTGTTTGCCTTGGGTAGTTTACTTAACTTCTCCTAACCTCAATTTCATCATCTGTATGAACCGTAGTGGTTCCAAGAATTAAATCAGATAAGTGATGATCAGCACTTGGTCTCTGAGGCATGTTTCAATGAAGCCTAGTGCACTCACCCATTCTGCAAT